GACGATAGTGTATTCCTGATGACTAGGAGATAGATATCATCGATGTACATGCAACGACGACCTTGTCTTGCATCGTTTGATGCGTCGACTTTGTCGTGAAGGCAGCGACTTGATCAGCGATCTTTAACTTTCGATGATAGGCACGCGACCCATGGTAACCACTTACATCGCCGTACTCCCGCGCTCGCGCAAAGGCATCTGAGGTCCACTTGTTCTCGTTAACGCGCGAGACGCGCCCTTGCACGAGGTGACGAGACCGAACACCCTCATCCGCATCTTCCAACGGCCACCGTGCACGAAACCATGAGGTGAGCTGCCGTCTCTATTACTACCGCCCATAGCCCTAACCACAGCCAACTTGGAACTGTCTCATAAAATAAAAAAACAATGGTAAATAAACACGAAATGTATTTACTACCAATCCGTTCTTAAAAATGTTCTCTACTCTATTTCGCCTTATGATTCCGATAATCTTCCTGCAAATGCCGCAAATTGCTTCTCTCAACACACAGTACACTCGCACCACTGGTTATATTTTTGCTTGAGCCAGTGTCGTGCGTGCGTGTACTTGTTGTGCCTGCCAGAGGTAGCATTTTGTACGGTTATTTACTAGCGCAATGTTATCCAATATAGCTCGAAATAAAGTTTAGATAAACATTAAGACGTTGGTAGTTAAATAATTTCGTGTTAGTTTTACAATTATTTGCTTTTATTGAACGTTCGAATTGCCTTGAGCCCTAATAACGCCCTCTAACTATCCATTCTCATTGCTGACTGCCGCCTGTAACGTTTTATCGCTATAAAAGCGTCTTCGCGTATATACACTGTGCCCACTTTAACGCGCTATATAACAATGGAAACATTCTAGCCGTCACTTAAGGTCATAAGGCTACGCGTGCACGCATGAAAACCCTGCACGCGCAGTTGAGTTGCGGAATCGAGAGTATAATAAGCACCTGTGTAAAAACAGTAGTATGCGATGACAATCAGCTGTATGACATTATTAAACCCGACGGATAAATTCGGTTTGATCAATCTCTCATTCTGCTCTGGCTTTCTGCAAGCCGAGATCAGTTCGTGATGAATCAGTCCACGCCTGCCGATAACGTTAATCTGGAAAATTTACACGGCCCCACCTCTATGTCTTTTCCACAATAAAAAACATACACAGCTCAGTTTGCTTGGACGTTCTTGATGAAATAATACACAACCGGAGGGGGGGTCGGGGGGCGGCACATCAATGCCATTTTTTGGCGATTACCGAATTCAATTTATATCATATTATTAGTTGCCTCTAAATACTTTGCATTCCTTTACTCCGCTCAAAGACGTTCGCATCGTCTTTCATTTCGCCCTCATAACGATTGTGGCCGCCGCCAGTGTTCAGAAGGTCAGCTACTCACTACGATCCTTTTTCATGAGTTGGCACTGATTTTGCATTTCAGCTATTCTCGTTGCGCTGTCCCGCAAGAAGTTTAACTTTGCTTTTATCGCTATTTCACACATCCGCCCTTTTACCGTATTGCTGTAGCCTGTGAGCTTCCCGAACGCTTTGCACGTGGTGATAGTATGTTATCATGTTCTCTAGAAGCCATATTACTACCACGTTTCGCGGGCCATCTGAGATGAAAGAAATTGACCACATGTAAGGTTTGCAAGCATAACAATGACTGGCGCAGCTTGAGGCTATGAATCTTCCAGCATTGCAAGCAGTTGCGGTCGATGCCGCCCACTTTCATTATGCTCTATCGTTGGTCGGCACAGATATGATATGATAGGATAGATAGTGATAAATAGATATGATAGAGTAGATTAGATAATAGAAAAGAATATAAATAAATAGATAGATAGATAGATAATTAGAAGATAATATAATACTAAAATAGATAGATAGATGATAATGATAGAGAGATAGTATAGCATAAATTAGATTAGATAGATTAGATTAGATAGATTAGAGAGATAGATAGCATAATTAGAGCATTAAGTATATGATAGATAAGATAGAGTTAGATATGATTAGCGTATGATAGATAGATAATCAGAAATTAGATAGATATATAGATAGAGTAGTATTAGATCTGGATAAATATGATGTATAATATATTAGTGCAAGATTAGATATATAGATAAAATTTAGATAGATACGGTAGTTAACTAGATAAATTAGATAGATAATTGATAGTATGATAGATAGATTAGATAGTATAGATTAATATGATAGATAGATATAATAGTAGATTGATACATAGTTAGATAGATAGATAGTTTAGATAGATAGATAGATAGATAATATTGATAATAGATAGATAGATATGATAGATAGATAGATAAGATAATGTTTAATATGTATAGATACGGATTAAGGAAATAGATTAGATAGATATTATATATAGATTATGATAGTATAGAGAGCAATAGCATCAGATAAAATATAGATAGATAGATAGATGAGATTAGATTAGTAGATAGATAGATAGATATATATATAGAAGAAGATACGATAGATAGAATTGATAGATAGGATATTAATATAGCAAGATAGATAGATAGATAGCTATAATATTATAGAGCATAGATAGGACAGAAAAAAACAACAGAAGATAGTATGTAATTATATATATATATATATTATATTAGTATATAGTATATATTTATATAATAGAGAGAGAGAGACGAGAGAGAGAGAGAGAGAGAGAGAGAATCTGATAAGAAGAGAGAGAGATACTAGAGAGTGAGAGGTATCGAGAGTAGACGAGAGCGAGAGAAAGAGAAGAAAGAAGGAGAGAGGAGGAAGAAAAAAGAGAGAGAAGAGAGGATGAAGACGAGAGATGAGATGAGAGAAAATGCACCATGAAGAGAGTATGAGAGAAAGTGAGCGAGGGAGAATGGCGTGTTACAAAAATTTAGATACGAAACAAAATAATGAGTGTGAGCATTGTTTAATAAACCATGAGACTCGCGTAAGCAGATTAGCACTGAGCTAACGATGTCTGTGAACGGTCTTCTTAATAGCGGATGTTATTAAACAGATGCGGCGCAGTTAATAATTCTTACATGCTGTTAGACAACATCGTATTCCATCGCGATCTCTGCATATACAAGTAATTTAGTTGAGCCTAGCCAAACACGATGTTGTGTTGCTGTGAAGCCCCCCAACGTCAGTTAGTCTTGTCGGACGCGACTGATGCTGACTATTCATGACCGGACTACAGGGAGAGTTTTATTATTAAACGATTTTACGTGCTTTGATATCTGCGCGATAATTGGGCCGCGAGAGCAAAAACAGCACATCGTTACTAACCCTTACCTATTAATCACAACATTCTCCGCCTGCCAAGTCATTCCGCACGATCTCTAGCCTTGCTCCACATGAGATCACGCGGGAATAACTTCCATATTTACTGTGTACGTCTTCGTCTTCGTTATTAACTACCGCATAATGTTTACGGTTGAGCTGCTCTATTATTTACCTATCCCGAAGCTTATATTTTTTCTGTCAGATGAAGTCCTATATATATCTTGTCTATCATGAATTATAGTAAGTTTAATACATGTGAATCATTAGCTATTGATGTTATGTTCTCATTTGTCATATCAATTCAAACGCAGGACAACA